CTTCACCACACAAAGAAGGGGCGAAAACAGAAGTTGCTGGAAAATCTTGGCGGGTCTGGCAGCATCTGTGAGGAGAATTAACGTCTCGAGTCCGGTGAGCCTTCAAAACTGATGGCGGCTCGGAAGATATCGGTTTATACGCAGAAGGTATCGCATTGTCTGCCGTTACACGCTACCTATTGTTAGAATGTGGAGGTGCCGGTGTTGCACTGGACTGGACAAAGTCGGAAGTCACAGGACACCAGGTTATTGTCTGAGATACCAAGGTGTAGAGCTGGATGAACACAGCAGGCCAAGCAACATCAGAGGAGCAGGAAGGCTGACGTTTCGGACCTAGACCCTTCTTCAGAAATGGGAGTTCCTACTATCTCTGAACCAGGTTATAGTCTAACAAGTTTATTTGAAAACACACAAGCTTTCGACGTGTAGCCCCTTCATCAGGTGAAGTGAGAGAAAAGCGCACAGAACTTATGGGCAGAGAGATCAAAAGACCACAGTGTCGAATAATAAGTCGTTGCAGGTCATCCAAACTGTTAGATGGTGTGAAGAAAGTGTCAACAGCTGAATAACGAGCAAAGGGATAATCTATAGTCTGATTAAATGAGGCAGAGAGATAATTACAAAAACTTTAAAAATAAGGTGGTATCGGAGACAAACCAAATGACTGGAATAACATGATAGGTATAACAGTCACATCCCGAGTCTCTAACCAAAGTCATAGTAATCCAAAACTGTATAAACTAATTAAGGTAGAGAGATCATAATAATTTATCCAGGTGATGGTGACAAAACAGGACAGTAACGAAGATTTTACAGATACAGAACAATGTGGTGGGGTCACATGTAACGTGATATGAACCCAAGATCACGGCTGAGGCTGCCTTCATGGGTACGGAGCTTAGCTGTCGGTTTCTGCTCGTGATTCTGTGTTGTTGTGTATCTCGAAGGCTGCCTTGGAGGACACTTACCCAAATATCGGAGGCTGAAAGTCCTTCACTGCTGAAGCCTCCCCTGACTGGGAGGGAGCATTCCTGTCTGGCAATTGTAGCGCGGTATCCATTCATCCATTTTTTTAGCGTCTGCATGGTCTCATCAATATACCATGCCTCAGGCCATCCTTGCCTGCAGCGTATGAGTTAGATGACATTGGCCAAGTCACATGAGTATCTGCCATATACATGGAGGGTGGTGTTCCCACGTCTGATGGCAGTATCCATGTTGATGACCTAGCATGTCTTATAGCGGTTTCTGTGGCAGGGTTGTGTGGTGTTGTAGTCAATGTTCCCCTGATGGCTGGGTAGTTTGCTGCAAACGATGGTCTGTTTAAGGTTTTTCGGTTGTTTGAAAGGGAGAAGTAGAGGTATAGGGTTGATCTTGGCGAGATACTCATCATCATCGATGACATGTTGAAGGCTGCGAGGAACATGGCGTAGCCTCTCCGCTCCGGGGAAGTATTGTATGATGAAGGGTACTCTATTGGTCGAATCCTGTGTCAGTCTTCTGAGGAGGTTGTTGCGGTTTTTCGCTGTGGCACGTCAGAACTTGCGATCGATGAATTGAGTATCATATCCCATTCTTATGAGGATATCCTTCAAAATCTTTGGATAAACGTCGTGTTCCTCCTCATCTCAGCAGATCCTGTGTGTTTGCAGGGCTTATCCATACAGCATGGCTTCTTTAACATTTTTAGGGTGGAAGGTAGAGAAGTGCAGCATCGTGAGGTTATCTGTGAGGTATTTAGGTGTCCATCCTTGATGCAGATGCATGTGTCCAAGAATGAGACTGATTCTGAAGAGTAGTCCATGGTAAGTCTGATGGTAGGATGAAACTTGTTGATATCGCTGTGTAATTGTTTCAGTGATTTCTTGCCGTGAGTCCAAAGGAAGAAAATGCCGTTGATGTTTCTGGCATACAGCGTTGGTCGGAGGTCCTGCACAGTGAAGAAGTCTTGCTTGAACTTGTGCATGAAAATGTTGGCATATTGGGGTGCAAATCATGGCTGTTCCGTATGTTTGGATAAAGAACTGGTTGTCAAAGGTGAAGACGTTGTCGTCGAGGATGAAGCGGATGAGTTGTACGATGGTGTCTGGAAGTTTACAGTTGTTGATATTGAGTACTGCGGCTGTTGCAGTTATGCTGTCGTCGTAGGGTATGCTGGTATAGGGTGCCGAAATATCCATTATGATGAGGAATGGTCCATGGGTGCTGAGTCTCTGTAAGAAATCTGTAGTGTCACAATGAAAGCTGAGGGTTCCTTGTACAATGGGTTTCAAAGTGCCCTAGACATAGCCAAAGAGGTTCTCACACAGAGTCCCATTGCCTGATACAACGGAACATCCAGGTGTGTTGGCTTTGTGTGTCTTTGGAAGGCAGTAGAAATCTCCTATGTGAGAAGTACGGCGGATGAAAGTTCATGGGATACTCTGAAGGCTGGATCAAAGGTCTTGATCAGTTGACAGATGTGTTCTTTGATCAGATTGGTAGGTAGTTGATGGTAGTATTCCTAGTTGTTCAGTTGTCAGTATGCTTCTTTGCAGTAGTACATTCTGTTCCATATGACAATGGATCTTGCTTTGTCTGCTGGTTTGACAATGTTGCAATTAGTCTTAAGAGCATGGATGGCATTGTGTTGTGCTTGGGTGACGTTTTGTGCTATCTTTTAAGCACAGCTGATGAATCTGGCGTTAATGCATGTCCTGATAGCTTGAACATGCATGTTGAGCCTAGGGCAGTGGCCTTCTGGAGGAGTCCAATTCAACACTTTCTTCTTTGGTCGCTGCACCATGTATCTCTCTGTCAACTGTTCCAGTTCGTAGGTTGTCTCATTGGGCTTGCTGCTGACATCTTGAGTTTGTGGAAGAATTCCCGGAGCCTCATTCACCTGATGAATTCCTCTGTGTCTGCCGCCAAACCACTGTGGTCCATTTTGGTAGTGCTGCAGAAATTGAGTCCTCGGTTGAGAACTTCAATTTTGTCCGATGAAGGATGCGTCAGACAAGTTGATGATGGATTTCCATGTGATGGTACCAGTTTCAATTGTGGTTCCAGGGGAAGCTTGGACTGCTGGTGGTGATGCCAAGTTTCTCCAGTTTCTTGTTCTTGGTGTGTATGTAGGTGGTGTAGTTCCGTTACTTCATCTGCTTGGCAGTATCTCGTAGCTGGTCCGCTGAATCCTGAGCGCAAGCTGAGAATGTGGACTCTACCGCGATTTCAACGTTGCAGCAGCTGCTGTGGAGTTGGTGTACAAGATGATTGAGGAGTGTGCAAGAGGCGTGACAGCAGAGTCTCTCGGCATAGTCTGTGTTGTAATTCAACTTTGGTCCAAATAACACTGCTCAACAATCGCCAGACAGTGCTGTTCCCTCCCAGTCAGGGAACACTTCGACAGTCGAGGACATTAAGCCTCTGATCTTTGGCTAAGTGTCCTCCGAGGCAACCTTTGAGATACACAATATGCAGAATCGCAATGCAGAAACTGATAACCAAGTTCCGTGCCCATGAAGATAGCCTCAACCGTGATCTTGGGTTCGTGTCATGCTACATATGACCCCACCACACTGTCCTGTATTTGTAAAATCTTTCTTACTGTCTTGTTTTATCTCCATCACCTGGATAAATTATTATGATCTCTACCTTAGTTTGTACTGTCTTGGATTACTATGACTTTGGTTAGAGACTCGTCATGTGACTCTTATACCGATCATGTTATTCCAGTCATTTGGTTTGTCTCCAGCACCACCTTACTTTTAATTTTTTGTAATTATCTCTCTGCCTCATTTAATCAGATTATGGGTCATCCCTTTGCTTGTTATTCAACTGTCAATACTTTACTTACACCATCTAACACTTCGTATCATCTGCAGGGCCTCATTATTTGGCACTCCACTCACACCATTGTATGGTCTTTTGACCTGCCTGTCCTTGATCTCTCTCTGCCTACAAGTTGTGTTCTGTGTGCTTTTCTGTCACTTAACCTGACGAAGGGGCTACACTTAGAAAGCTTGTGATTTCAAATAAACCTGTTGGATGATAAGCTGGAGTCGTGTGACTTCTGACTTTACCTGTTGTTAGCCACTAACAGTCTCTACTCTCCTAGCCAGTTCGTTATCCACTCCTTTATCTAACTGTTCTTCTCTCTCTTTGGGCTCAATCCTCACCTATTGTTTACTTCTTACCTCCTCCCCCACCATATCTTCTGCATTTAAACCAACCTTTTCCTAGCTACCATCAGTTCTGAGGAAGGGTCACCAGACTCAAAGCGTTAACTCTGATTTCTCTTCACAGATGCTGCCAGACCTGTTGAGCTTTTCCAGCAACATTTTTTTTTAACAGCATCTGCAGTTCTTTCGGTTTTTGCTCAAAGTAGGGGAGTTGTTACTCTAATGAAGTGTTAAATTGAAATTGAACATAAGTGACAGTCATGCCGAATTGAATCCTCTCATTAACAAAAAGAGAAACTTAAAAATCAAGAGATTTGCCACAAAAGTCATAAATTGCAACTTTTAAAAAATAATTTTGCTTGACATCCGAGTTATAATCATCTTCAGTAGTTTATTTAATCTCTAACATGTCACAGTTCTTTGCAAACATTTTATCAATTTATCTGAAAAGCTTTACAAAAAGTTTTTTAAAAATCTGAAGCAGGTCAGGCAGCACATATGGTGAGAAACAAAGTTAATGTACAGGCGAGATGACCTTTCTTGATAACAAAGTGCTGGAGAAACTGCACACCTGGCAGCATCTGTAGGGAGAAAAAAAATCAATATTTCAGGCCCAGTGACTCAATCGCAACATTTTGCTTTTCTTTTAAACAATCCTACCTGATATCCTCATACATATTAAACAAGGACCTACTTCCACCACAGCAAAATGATACAGCGTAGAAGAAGGCATTCTACCCAATGTGTCTGTGCAAGATCTTTGCAGAGATTTCTTTTTCCCTTCAAGTTTTTATTCATTTCCATTTTACTATATTGATTTGTTACATCTGCTTCCAACTATCTACAGTAAAATACATTCAGAATCAGAACCATGATCCATGATGGAGAATAAAAGTACATGAAAGGATTAGATGAAATAAGATGGCATCAGTTTGATCTAACCAGGAAATGGCACATTGGATCTGTGGTGATTGTAATGAGGTCAGCCAGGCAAACCTCATAGAATACGAGTTCCCTGATTGGACCAGATATACAGCCCCAGTCAGGGAGCCCTGACTGACAGATATAAACAGGAATGTCAGAAGTTCTTTTCACGCTGAGAGCTGGCCCTGAGAGACCTGCATCAGTGTCAAGGATTCTCCACCTGGAAATACAGGGTGATTGTGGTGATGGAATACTGGCCTCTGTTAGAGTTATTTCAGTGGCAAAGCGAGTAAAGCACACTCCTGAAGAAATTCTTGCTGGACTCCAACCCTTAAGTTTGTGCAGGGCCTCGGCTAGACTGAGAAACTACACCCACGAACATTTACATATTAAGGGTACAACTTCAGTTCCGGTCTCTTATGAGAAGAAGCTAGTTCAGTTACCACTGATTGGAGTAAAGAGCTCAAGCCCAAGCTTGATGGGACAAAATTAGTTGAGAAAGATTCACCTAGATTAGCTCAATGTTTTCCAATTAGAAAATGGCTGCCCGAGTGAAGTCAATAAGTTTTTCAGGCAGGTCTAGGGAATATCAAAGGAGCTAAGGCCACCTTGCATGTTGACCATGGAGTAATTCCAGGTTTCTGCACGACCCACCCAGTGCCATTTCCCTTATGGGCAAACATAGAGGCAGAAAATAGAAGGCTGGAAAGCGAAGGAGTCATCAAACCAGTTCAGTTTGCAGAATGGACAGCACCGATTATGAATCCCGACGGGCCAGTTTGCCATTGTGGGGACTTTAAACAAATTGTAATCTGCTATTTGCAGCTGGATAAATACCCCCTCTTAGAGATTTATAGGCAAAGCTGGCTGGTGTATTGTTCTTCAAATAGCTGGACATGAGCCATGCGTACTTGCAATTGAGGTTAGATGAGGATTCCCAGAATTTGCAATACTTAATCCCCATTGGATGTGTACCAATATATGACACTGCTATTTGGGGTATTGTCAGTCTGTTCTATTTTTCAGCAAATGATAGAGAACATTTTACCAAGTTTACCCCAGGTCCCCATTTATATGGTGCTAATAACAGGCAAGACCAATAAGGAGCACTTAGGGAACTTGGACATAGTCCTTAGATGTTTCTCCCAGGCAGGCGTATGCCTTAGAGGGGAAAATTGTGTGTTCTAGGCACTCCAAGTGATCTACGTAGGCTACAGAGTCAACATGACTGGTTTCACCCTTTGGAAGATAAAATGAGGGCAATCAAAGGTGCCCTTGATCCCATATCTGTACTGGGGCTTAGGGCTTTTCTTGGGCTGCGAACTATTACAGATGGTTCATAAATAACTTGGCCTCCTCCTGGCACCTTTTCATCAACTCCTAAACAAAGGTCATCCTTGGAAATGATCACATAGCCAAGCCATAGCCTTCAGGGAAGTGAAGTAACAGCTATTATCCTCTAAGCTGTTGGCGCATTATGATATCCAGCAAGATCTGGTACAGACATGTGATGCCTCCCTGTATGGCATCGGGATGGTATTAGCTCATAGGTGGCCCAATGGAGAGGAATGCCCAATAGCGTATGCATAGCATAAATATGCCCAGATAGAGAAGCAAGAATTGGCAGTTATATTTGGAATCAGGAAGTTTCAACAAAACCTTAATGGACATAAATTTGTAAAAATAACCAAACACAAATCCGTGCTAGGTCTACTTAATGAGGACAAGGCAGTGCCTCCCATATCTTCAGGCTGAATTCAGCGGTGGACTTGAATACTAAGTGTATATAATTACAAGTTTGAACACCGTCTGGGAGATCAAGTAGTAAATGCATTGAGCTGCAATGGTAGATATACCACTGGTGTTACCACCACTGGAAGGGTCTGTAATGGTTTTAAGTTTTCTGGACACACTTCCAGCCACAGCTGACAATGTCAGACTTTGGATGCAGAAAGATCCAGTCCAGGCAAAACTGAAACAGTTGGTGGTGATGGGGGAAACCAAAGGGCTGTCACAACCAGAACTGATACCTTTTAGACTCGGGGAGACTAGATGACAGTAGAGCATGGCATATTATTAAGGGGAATAAGAGTGATTGTCCTGAGCAAAGGTAGCCACCAGATACTGGCTGAATTCCACCAGGGTTGTTACAAAATGAAGATGTTGGCCAGAAGTTATGTCGGGTGACCAGGATTGGATGCAGACATAGTTGCATTGGTGAAGCAGTGCCCAGAGTGCCAAAAAGGACAGAAATATCCACCAGCAAGTTCCCAGCATTTGTGGGAATGGCCAGGTAGACCCTGGACTTGGTTACACATTGTCTATGCAGGCCCTTTCATGGCTTAATATTCTTAGTCATTGTGGATGCCAACTCAAAATGGCTGGACGTGCATAGAGTTCATTCATCAAACACAGGGATGATGATTGAAAAACTGCACACATCTTTTACAATGTATGGACTCCTCGAAGTGTTGGTCACAGATAATGGTCCATCGTACCCACAGGGAATTTGAGTATTTCCCAAAGTCGAATGGTATTTGTCATATAAGGATAGTTCCTTACTATCTATCATTCAATGCTCTGGGAGAAACAGCAAGTTCAAACTTTGAGGGCATGCTTGAAAAAGCAGCCTAAGACTTCACTAGATACCAAACTGTCCTGGTTTCTATTTGATTATAGGAACACCCATCATACAACAGTAGGGATAGCTCCAGCAGTGTTGCTAATGGGGAGAAGTTAAATCTGATCTGGCCACACCTGAGAGGTGGGTGAAATGACCACCAATGCTGAACACAAGATTCTGCTGAGCGAGAGAGACTGTTTATTTCAGGGAAAGTTTGGTATAGTAACCACTGGAGTGGCCCTGCATGGGTAAGAAGCATGGTCAACACAAGGTCAGGTTCAGTGATGTATAAAGTTTGCATAGGTGCAATGGTCCTGAACAGACACATGGACCATATGAAAGCTGCAAACTCGCAAACGGTGCAGGAGTAAAACATGCCTGGCTGCTCGACTGCCTTTCCGACTGTTAGGAACCTGTCTGGTCTCCCTCTCTGACAAGCAATGAAGAAACCCCAGAGTCTGAGATGGACATGGCGGATGTCACTTCCTTGATGGCTTTATCCCTCGATGATGAGAATAAATTTCTTCCAAGAGATGGCCTGGGTGTAAGAGGCGAGGTACTGTGCGTTACATGTCACCCATATAAGAGGCAGAGTTGGAGGAACCTGACCCAGTGCTAAAATGCCCCAGGAGGAGCTACAAAAAAAAACAGCCTTAAATGGACTTCGAGGGGGAGGATGTAGTGTTTGTAACGAGGTCAGCCAGGTGGACTTCATAGAATATGAATTCCCTGATTAGGACAGTTAAACTGGTCCAATCAGGGAACCCTTGCTGGCAAACATAAACAGGAGTGTCAGAATGTCTGCTTGCTCTGAGGGAGCAGAATCAGTGTCAAGGATTCTCCACATGTAAATAAAGGGTGATTTGGTGATGGGTACTGGCCTCTGTGAATTATTTTAGGATCCAAATTTGGCTGAGATGCCAGAAGATGGTGGTAGAGGGATGTTCTTGGATTGTTGTCTGTTTACACAGGTCTTAGTGCTGGGGCCCTTGTTCTTTATGATGTACATTCATGGTTTGAACTTAAATACAGAAAGTATGACCAGGAAAATGCATATGTTACAGAAGTTGGTAAGATAATAACTTGTGAGGAGAATAGCTGTAAACTGCAGGAGGATATCAACGGACTGGTCCAATGGGCAGAACTGTGGCAAATGGAGTTCAACCTAGAAACTATGAGGTAACAAACTTTGGAAGGACCAAAAAGATGAGGAATTACACTAAGAATGGTAGGATCATGGAAGGGACTGTAGATCAGTGGAACCTTGATGTGCATATTCGCAGATCCCTGAAAGTAAGAGGACAGGTAGATAAGGTGGTTTAAAAGGTGTATGGAATATTTGCCACTCTGAACCAAGACACAGAATAGAAGAGGAGAGGAGAGAAGTTCTGCTGGAACTGCATAAAAACACTAGTTAGATCACCATTGGCACACCGTGTATAGTCTGATCACACTTATAGAAAGGATGTGATTGTACTAGAGAGGGTGCAGACAAATCTTTCCAGGAGGCTGAGATATGAGGAATAAATTGAATAAACTGTTGTTGTTTTCCTTGGAACAGTGAAAGTTAAGAGGAGACCTGTCTGAGATAATTTAGATTCTATAGGGTATAGTTAGTGCAGATAGGGAGGCATTTTTTTTTCCATTTGTAGAAGAGGGCTCAATAACCAGGAAAAATAAATATGAAGTAAGAGACTCGGAGGAAAGATGAGGAGAATTTTGTTTCATTCAGAGGATGGTGGGAATCTGAAATGGTGGTTGAATCAGAATCTCTTGTTTCATAAGAGCATTATTGCATTCAGATCTTGTGCGGACCAGCTGGCGGGAATACTCGGTGACATCTTTAACCTCTCTTTACTTTGATCTGAAGTCCCCTCCTGCATTAAGAAGACTGTCATCATCCTGGTGCCAAAGAAAAATCATGCAGTGTTCATCAATGACTACCACCCAATGGTTCTGATCTCCATAATTATGAGGTGCTTTGAGAGGTTAGTCATGGCTCACATCGACTCCAACCTACCAGATTGCCTTGATCCTTTGCAATTCGCATACCGGTAGAACTCGTCCATGGCAGATGCCATCTCCCTGGCTCTATACTCAAATCTGGAACATCTGGATAACAAGGACACCTACGTCAGGCTCCTACTTATTGACTACAGCCTTTAACAGAATAATTGCAAAAAAACTCATCTTCAGACTTTGAGACCTATGTCTCTGGTCCCCTCTCTGTTACTAGATTTTGGACTTTCTGACCCTTGGGCCGCAATCAATAAGAATAGACAACAACACTTCCTCCACGATAATCCTCAAAAATTGTGCCCTGCAAGGCTGCTTACTCAACCCCATACTTGTACCCCTTATGCACTCATGACTGTGTGGCCGAATTCAATCTCCATTCCATTTACAAGTTTGCTGATCACACTGCCGTTGTAGGTCAGATCTCAAACAACAACATTCAGAAAAGATTTACAAGGATATTGCCAGGGTTGGAGGATTTAAGCTCTCGGGAAAGGCTGAATATGCTGGGGCTATTTTCCCTGGAGCACTAGAAGCTGAGGGGTGATCTATAGGAGTTATAAAATCATGAAGGGCATGGATCGGGTGATAGTCAAAGTCTTTTCCCTAGGGTAGGGAATTCCAAAACTAGAGGGCCTAGGTTTAAGGTGAGAGGGGAAAGATACAAAAGGGACCTAAAGGGCAACTTTTTCATGTAGAGGGAGGTGCGTGTATGGAATGAACTGCCAGAGGAAATGGTGGAGGCTGATACAGTTACAACATTTAAAAGGCATCTGGTTGGGTACATGAATAGGAAGGGTTTCGAGGGATATGAGCCAAATGCTGGCAAATGGGATTAGATTAATTTAAGATATCTAGTCAGCATGGATGAGTTGGACCAAAGGGTCTGTTTCTGTGCTGTACATTTCTATCACTCTATGATGAGACAGAATACAGGAAAGAGTCTGGATGGAATGATCTTCAGAAGATCTGTGTGGACCCAATGGGCCAAATGGCTGCTTCCACACTGCATGGATTCTATGATTTTAAGTCTTATAAACTCTGGTTTTGATTGCATTCAGCCCTTTATAAAACTGTGAACTGCCTTTGACCTAGGTTGGACAGTAACTACAACTTAAATTTTTATGGTACCTTTAAGAAAGAAAATTAGGCCTAAGAAACTTTGTCTATTGTTTGGTACTTGCTTTCCAATCACAAAGATATAGGTTGGAAATCTTAGCTGAATCTTTAGGTTTTGAGAAGATTTGTAAGATGGAAAGATGATTTAGAGAGAGAGAATTCCCGAGAGTTGAGCTGACCATTGTGACTCTGCTATGAATTAGTTTTTCTCGTCTCAGCTACCAGCATCTTTTCTGGCCTTTCAGCATTGTTACAACATCCTGGCCATACTTGGTCAATGGGATACAGCAGTTACCTAAAAATGAATATGTTTTGAAAAAAAAACAGATTTCTGAGCCCTCCTGAGAGATTATGAGAAGGGCCTAATTTTATATAGAAATAATATCATTGAGATATCTACTTCTCAATTAAAATCACAATTAACAGATTATTTAGTTATAAATACGTTGCTGCTGGAAGGAGCTTATTGCGTGTAGGTTACCTTCTCTGTCTCCTATATTAAAACAGTATCTACACTGCAAAAAAAGCGTTGCACTGCTCTGGGGTGTTTTGTATGTTTATTTGTGTTACCCCAACATTCCATTGCATGTTGCGGGGGAAATGTCATAAGGCATTGAAATAACAGTGCTATTTTTTATTTTTTAGAACTTTAATTCATTATTTATCAAAGTATTAGAGATATGAATATAGGCTGTTTGACAGAGCAGGTTCTTATTTTATTCTTTCATAAGATGTGGACTTTGCAGGCAGAGACAGCATTTATTGCCTATCCCTAATTGCCCTTGAACTGAAAGTCTTTCTGAGCCTTTTCTGAGGTTAGGAAAGAGTCACATCTATGCCAAACCAGGTATAAAAAACACATTTTCACCACCATGGAAGATTAGTGAACCACATGAGTTTTTATGATAACTGATAGTATTATGACAACCAATACTGCGACTAACTTTCAAATCCAGAATTTATGAATTGAATTTTACCTCAACCAGCTATTTTGGTGAACCATCAGAGCATTAAACTGGGTCTCTTCATCGATTAACCTAGTCACATTACCAGCAATGTAGTCCAACAGGGAATACACGCAAGCAAGTCTATTAAGGGAGTCAGTGATACCAATTAAGCCAAATGTACATGAACAACTAGCCCTGCTGACTGGCTGTTTGGCTTCAGTTATAGCAAAAATAAAATTCAGATCCAATCAAGAGCTTTAAGGGAAGTACTTTAAAGCCAATTGAAGTGCTTCCAGATAATTTGGAGGCAGTCAATGATTATAGCCTAGAGAGATTTTTTTTTCCATGGGTTGCCATTTTAAACAGCGTGTATGATTAGTGAGAGCAGTATGAGATGTTTGTCTTAGCAGCTTATAACTTTCCACTTGCAGCTTTTAGGGCAACAAAGAATCAAACATCCTTTGTTGGCTCCATCTATCTTTTGTCCCTTCCATCAAGCCACTGCGCCTCCAGAGTATCTTCCAGATCCCAACCATGCTTGCTTCTCTATTCTACCAATGTCTTATGTTTCCCATGTACATATTGCAATATAGAACCATATGAGGCCCATACTCTTTCTCCCATTATCGGCCGTTATGCCCACAGCCCTTTTCAGGTGAAATCTTACTGCACACTCCCTTTCTCTTACCACCAACCAGTCTAGTCATCAAGAGTTCTTTACTGCTTTGTGAATTCTACACACAGAAATCCTGCCAACTACGCCAAGCTATTATGCGGATGGAAGAATAATCCAGTCTAGTCTGGCTGCTCAAGGTTTCTTTTTACCACTCTCCTTTATTCAAGAACATAGCAAGATCTCTCTTCTGACTCCCAGAACAACGTTGTATTCTATGAATTCAAAGTGCTATAGATTACAGTGTTTGCATGATCTATCAATTACGCAAGACATCACATCCAAACTTGACAATCAAATGGATACAATATCTTTTTTCTTTTGACCACATACTTCTTTTATTTGCCTGCTTGTCCAACCTGTTGGTCAAAGCTTCGCACTCCTTGTGCTTGCCCAGACATGTTTGTGCTATACTAACCCTTTCACCTCCCTACTTTGTACACTAAAGTTATCCCAATTGACATTTGGGGAGGTAAAAATCCTCTACTCTTACTGTCATCTTATTCTTTCACTTCCTGAAACTTGATTACATACTTCAGCCTTTATTTCTCCCTTTTTGGGTGCTTGTAGCACGCAACCAATAGCATATATGTCCCTTTTGTGTCTTTTACTTCTACCCTTTATGGCCTTGCTTGATGACCCTTCCAAGATATCAACCCTCCTCACAGCTGTAATTGATTCCTTGATCAATATTATGACCCTCCTCCTCTTCTATCCCCCTCTCTATCTTGTCTGAATATCCTAAATATTGAGCTGCCAATCCTACCCATATTTCAACCAAGTCTTGGTCATAGCTATGGTATCATACTCCCATTTGCTTATTAATGCCCTCAGCTCGTCTATCTTATTCCTTGCATTAAAATACATCCATTTAGCCTTGCTAAACTCACTTCTTTCTGCCATCTAGACTCACTTGCTCGTGTTTTAAATTCTAAATCCACATCAGCTTCGTTTCTATCTGAACTATGTCAGAATCCCATTCCCCCTGCTAATCTATTTTAAATCTGCACCAATGGCATCAGCAAATCTTCCCTTGAGGATGTTGGTCCCGTTTCTGTTGAGATGTAAGCCATCCACTTACACAGTACCCACCTAACCCCAGAAATGGTCCCAATGCCTCAGGAATCTAAAACTCTCCCTCCTGCTACCATACTCCAACCACACTTGCTTGATCCTTCTGTTCCGAGTCACTGCTGTGTGGCACCGACAGTGACCCAGGGATGACTACTTTAGAATTCCTGCTTGTCAATTTTCTATGTTGAATTTATTGCCTTTATTGTGGCCTAAGTTGCTGTTTGTGATAGAATCCTGGAACTTTGGTATCTACACCCTGCATAACAGTTCACATCTCATTACCCAATCTGCCCTAATGAAAAACCTGACAGCATGTCAAACAGCAACCAAAATGATCCGTGAAGGCTGCATTCACTGGTATAAGCCAGGAAATGGTATTAATATTGAAATGGAATATGAACAACAGTATAAGAATCAAAAATTTTGAGCTTGATTTTAGACCCTTCTTGAACTCGGCTCCAGTTGGACCAGTGTTTTAAAAAGCCCTATGGTTGGTTAGCTGGTTCCCCAGCTAGAGCCCAAACTGGGCCATCTTTGTGGAGAAGGTAAATGGGTGGTTGACAGGAGTACCAGCCTGCATGTGGCAGGTAGCCAACATAGTTTGTTATTGGCCACTCAAGACCAACTAAAGGAGGATGACCAGAATTTTCCAGTTCCTGTCCAGGTTCTCACAGTTGGGGAAACTCCGTTTTATGTCTCCCTTGGTGTTGCAGTGGCTGAAGTGTCCGTTATAGAGCTCTCCTGGCTTTTAAACCTATTATTTCATTTTAAATTTTTATAATTTGAGACAGGGCATTACCATGTCACAGACTCATACAGCGTGGAAACAGACCCTTCAGTCCAGCCAGTCCATGCTGAACATAAACTAGTCCCACCTGCCAGCTCCTGGCCCATATCTCTTCAAACCTTTCCTTCCTGTTTGATGAATAAATGTAGCAGAAATGCTGTCAGGCTTAATTGGCTACCGTCATCAACTCTCCTTTCCAAGCTGGAAGTTCTCTTAATGACCCCAACCATAATTGACTGTACTGAGGTAAATCACAATGATTGCTTCTTTTCCACAAAAAGAGAGCTTCTCCTGACATTCCAGGCCAATGGTACTGCTCTAAAGTTCACATGGACTACAAAGCTACTTTTTGCCTTTTGGCTGTGACTCCACTCTTGTGACTGAACTGCTGCATTGCGAAGAGTTAAGATGAATGCAAGGGAGATGGGTTGGGCAACGAGTGCCAGCTTTGCTAAAACCCAAGATTGAATTAAAAATAATATCCTTGAAACAAACCGATTTTTACATCAAGATAATGGGTTATTTTTTCAATTTGAGACATTCCCTTCAACTGTTTGAAGTTGATTTCATTGAGAATTTTGCACTTGCTGCTACTTCTGTCAAAATCAAGTTTGTTATTGTAATGTCTGATTAAAACAGTACAGTATGCTGCCACCTCCCACTTCCCTCCCCAATGTTTAAGATACTGCCCAGTATGACAGTGAGGCCCATCAAAGGACCTAAAAAACTTTGGTTTGGTTTGCATTCTGCACTAGTTTACGCGGTTGGTGTCAGTACAGGCATAAGTCAGTACAGCTTACCGGCATAAGACATGTCTGCTTGATCCTGGGACACAGTGGCCACGTTACCTGTGGCGAAGTATTTTCTCCCAATAGCATTGCTGGAAGGTTAGAATTTAGAATTGGAAATGCTAGAATTTTTTATTCTATTTATTATCACACAAGTTAATCACCTGATGGCAAAAGAAAACATGAAACGGGTGCAGGTTAAATCAGGCCCATTTTTATCGGTTAAGTCACAGTAGGTGAATATTTCTGCTTGACCTCATTCCATTGATGATACTTCGGAATTATCTTACATTCCACCGTTTTGTTGCATGGTCTGAAAGAAAGGAAACAAATGTACAATGATTTATTAGGATAATTTGATTGTATGTCTGGTCTCGGCTGCTCTCAGGTTAGAAAGTGCCTTTATTGATGTTAAAAGAAGACATACTGACTCAGCTGTGATTTAAAAAAAATGACAACCTGTCATTTTAATTTAATTACATTTAAGGGCCTTAAAGTATTTGACATGAATCCAGTCAGACAAAAACTGACATGGAGCCAAACAAGAAGACATTAGGATGGGTGACCAAAAGCTAAGCCAAAAAGAGATCCGTGTTGAGGAATTTCTTAATACAGGAAAGGGGTAAAGAGACAATGAAGTTTAGGCAAGGAAATCCATAACCTAAGATGCACACAGTTGCAGACATGGGCACCAATGGTGTGATGAAGAAGACAACACACAGATATCAAAATTAGTCAAACACAGAGTTCCTCGAGGCTTTTATTATTGAAGGATGCTGCAGAGATAACGGAATGAAGCTGTGGACTTCATTTGAACACAGATTAAGTTTTTAGAATCCAGGTGTTTGTGGATCAACAGAGGAGGCAGATAGCAAGTATTGACTTGATGGTTAGATAGAAATTAATGTGATCGAGGCAGGGAAGTTCAAGGTGAGCCCTGGCTTTTTTCAAGGTACAAGAGAGGACAGTGAGGTGGTCACACTGATGGTTGAGTTGGCCAATGACACTCTCTCTTTTGGCTTAATTATGAAGATTGATGATGGGCAAAATACAGACGCACTTAACAGGGAAATCCAGGTGCATATGTGGTTTGGGGAAGCTAGTTCTCATTGAAGATCTGTGCTTATGTCTGTGAAATGGGTTCTGGAATGCAGCTTCAAAGTTCAGGGGCATAGACTAGGACAGGAGGATGATTTATTAGACCAGGAACGATCAGCAAAAGTTAGATCAGATCAGCAAAAGTGAAGAACTGTAATCCCTTGTGAAGTTTCACAAGATTTAGAACATAGAACAGTACAGCACAGTACAGGCCTTTCGGCCCATGATGTTCTGCCAACCTATTATCCTACTAAGATCAATCTACGCTGCATACCCTACATTTTACTATCCTCTAAGAATCACTTAAAAATCTCTAAAGTATCTGACTCCACTACCACTGCCGGCAGCGCATTCTACACACCCACCACTCTCTGTGTGAAGAACCCACCTCTGACATCTCCCCTATACCTTCCTCCAATCACACTAAAATTATGCCCCCTCGTAATAGTCATTTCCGCCCTGTGAAAAAGTCTCTGGCTATCCACTCGATCTATGCCTCACGTCATTTTGGTTACCTCTATCAAGTCACCTCTCATCCTTCTTCGCTCCAATGTAAAAAGCCCTAGCTCCCTCAACCTTTCCTCATAAGACCTGCCCTCCAGTTCAGGCAGCATCTCCTCTGCACCCTCTCTAAAGCCTCCATATCTTTCCAATAATGAGGTGACCAAAACTGAACACAATATTCCAAGTGTGGTCTAACCAGAGTTTTATAGAGCTGCAGCATAACCTCACAGCTCTTAAACTCAATTCCCCTGCCAATGAAAGCCAACACACCATACACCTTCTTTACAACCCTATCAACTTGGGTAGCAATTTTCATAGAATCCCTACAGTGTGGAAACAGGCCCTTCGGCCCAACAAGTCAACACCGACCCACAGACCATCCCACCCAGACCCATTCCCCTACCCTTTCCCTGTAACCCACCTAATTAACACATCTCTGAACACTATGGATAGTTTAGCTTACCCAATCCATCTAGCCTGCCCATCGTTGGGCTGTGGAAGGAAACCAGAGCACCCGGAGGAAACCCACGCAGACACGGGGAGAATGCGCAAACTCCACACAGACAGTTGCCCGAGGTTGGAATCGAACCCGGGTCCCTGGCACTGTGAGGCAGCAGTGCTAACCACTGAGCCACCGTCCCACTTGGGGGATCTATGGACGTGGATCCCGAGATCCCTCTGTTCCTCCACACTGCTGAGAATCCTGCCATTAACCCTGTATTCTGCATTCAAATTCAACCTTCCAAAATGAATCACTTCACACTTTTCTGGGTTGAATTCCATCTGACACTTCTTTGCCCAGCTCTGCATCCTGTCAATGTCCCGTTGCAACCTACAACAGCCCTCCACGCTGTCCACAACTCCGCCAACCTTCATATCATTGGCAAACTTACTAACCCACCTTTCCAGTTCCTCATCCAAGTCATTTATAAAGATCTCAAAGAGCAGCGGTCTCAGAATGGATCCCTGCTGAACGCCACTGGTCACCGAGCTCCAGGCTGAGTATTTTCCATCTACTACCACCCTCTGTCTTTTATTGGACAGCCAGTTTTGTATCCAAACAGACAAATTTCCCTGAATCCCATGCCTCCTTACTTTCTGAATGAGCCTACCATGTGGAACCTTATCGAATGCCTTGCTAAAATCCATATAACACCACATCCACTGCTCTACCTTCATCAATGTGTTTTGTCACATCTTCAAAGAATTCACTAATGCTTGTGAGGCATGACCTGCCCCTCACAAAGCCATGCTGACTATTTCTAATCAAACTGTGCTTTTCCAAATAATCATAAATACTATTTCCCAGAATCCTCTCCAATAATTTGCCCAACACAGAAGTAAGACTGACAGAAGTAAGATTTGATGACCCCATATGTCATTAATGTTTGAGGGGTAGTTGCTGAGAAATCTGTGAAATCTGACTTGATTGCATTTATTATTGATTTGTGCTGTGGGTATTTGATAATTGTATTCTGGGTGTTGAAAATAATCTGTAACAAATATAATGTAGATTATATTACTGTCAAATGTGTATAGGAAGGTAATGTTGCTTGTTCTAAACTGTGGCATCTTTTGGCTTTATTCTCTTAGTAAGTCCCCTGCATCTCATCTTTTACCTACTTTAAAAATAAATATTGTTGGTTCCGAGGCCAGGTTGCAAACATAATTTTAGTGATCACTTCCAGAACCATAACTTGTTGGCAGTCTGGTTTGGGGTCATAACATGTATATTTAAATAAAGGAGACTTGTAACATTTTATTTCATTGAGTAGATTCTTCAGATACGCATTTCAAATAAGTCCTTTCCAAAGTTCCTTCAAGGCTTCATTCCTTATCCTTTCTGAGAGATCATCTTTATTGATCAACATCCTATTCACTCCTGTATCACTCAGTTAATGTTTCCAACATTTCTTTCTCAAGACAGATCTTTCTTGGAATGTACCATCGTCCTTTAGAATGTTTCCCACAATCATTTTCCCTTACCAGCTTCTCCAAGCTGAAAGTCAACAACCTCTCTCTAGTCTTCCCTATAATTTCCCCCCTATCCTTTCCCCTGCTATTCTGCTCTATAAAGTGCCCTAGAATATTTTCCTTTAAGTGAAAAGCCATGTAGTACTTGAATACAAAGGTGTTGTGTATCGTGGTCTACAAAGGAACAGGTAATATAGTATTGAAGCAAAATACTGCAGATACTGAAAACTTTAAATTAAATACAGGAAATACTGAAAAATCAGTGAGTCAATCATTGTCAGTGACAAGAGAAAAAGTGTTAACTTTCAGAGCAGTGATCTTAGGTCAGGGTATATACAACTGAGGAGGCCTACCTGCATTATCCAGTCAATGAAAGCTGATACTCGAGTAAAAACTGTAGGATACCTCTCCATAACACAGGAGACTGGTCCAAAGCTTACAACACCATGGACAGTCCAAACTCCATCATTACCCTGACAGTTCAGAGGGCCACCAGAATCTCCCTGTCACAACAAAATGAGTACGAAGTGATGAGATGAACTCATTTAGTTTATTACTTTCACTAATTACATAACATAACATTGACTCAAGGGCCCACTGATTGCAACCATTCATGTGATATAAACCCCGCTTTAATTAGACTTTTGAATGGACCTCTCAAATTATAAATTTCATGATCTAGCTCTCTGATCACCCTCTCTTTAGCCGTAATATTGTATTCTGTACTATTACCCTATGTACTTTTTATGGCATGATCTGATTGTACCGCATGCAAGCAAAACTTTTCACTGTACTTAAGTACATGTGACAATAATAAATCAAATCAAATTAAAAACAAAAACAGAAATTTCTGGAAAGGCTCAGCAGGTCTGGCAGCATCTGTGGAGAGAAATCAGAGTTAACATTTCGGATTGAGTGACCCTTCCTCACAACTCAGAGTTAACTCTGATTTCTCTCCACAGATGCTGCCAGCAATTTCTGTTTTTGTTTCTGATTTACAGCTTCCGCAATTCTTGCAGATTTTACAGATCAAATCAAATGCAGCATTGCATCATAATGACATTATAAATTAATAGAAGTCATTACCTGACATCCAGAAGTCACACCATCACCCCCAGCACAGATCATATCTTCAGTGACTGTGTTTGACCACCAGTACGGAGATGAGCATGTCTTGTAGTCCACCACTTGGAGCAGAGCTTGCTGCAGTGTGGGAGATGGAACACCGAAAGCTGAAAAAGTGTATCAATGTAATTTTATTTTTAGTGGCTTAGATAGTCCCATCAAACCTACATTGTCAGTTTTCCAGTCCAGTAACAAACTTGTGTATTTAATGAGTTGTTATTTGTGTCATGATTACCGGATTACTTTATGCCACTATGTTGTAGAATGGTGCTTACAGGTACACCTGAATCAATATCTGCCCTAAAACATCTCAGGCATGCTTTGAAGACATAATGAAGGATATAGTGACATCTAATGGCTAAATGTCCATGGTGCAAATTTAGTTTTAAGAAGTGAGATTTTCTCTAGTTACCATACATGTCAAAGCATCTGCATGGTGGCCAATGGGGAGTCTTAAGCTGAAACTGCATTAATCTCACACTTAACAGAAGCTGCTAAGGAGATAAACTTTAAGTGTGCTCAAACAAACTGCAAGGAGGATTGTTAAGAACCGATTGCTCAATACAGTTGCCTTCCAGCACTTGCTAAGGAAGCTGTATGGTATTTTAGTGTCAGGCAATTGAGCAAACACTGTCTCCTAACAATGACTTTGATGGGGAGTAAATATGTTGCTGCAAAAAATTCTGACCACTGCATCACTTCTACATCACTTTTTACTGCTCAGTTGCTGCTGGAGATTTGAAGACAACTTTTGAAACACTTCAAGAAAGCAGAAGGAACACTTTATCAAGATTTCAACAGCACTCCATCAAAATTATTCTATAGGAAGACCTCATCAAAACAGCCTAACTGCTGTGCCATTCCATGCTATTGAACAACAAATAGGAGTCATCAGGGACAAGACTGTGCTGGTCATCAATATCTTGTTCAGGATTGCTAACGATCTCTAATGGGAAAAGCAGGAATACAAAATGCAAGACAGAGCAGCTGCAGGACAGTGACAGGAAAACACACTGTTCTATCTCTGCCACTGTCAGTAGGGGACATGCTCTTTCACTGAAACTCCTTCTTTAGGACCTTGCCACATTGTATGCCCTTTCTCACTCAATCCCTAAACCAATCTGAAATAGGATGTTCTTTATCAGCCTGTACACTCCACACATTCACTGAGGTGGGCTTATGGAGCCAATATATCATATTACTAGAAACATTGTGTCCAATTAGCGCTAAAACCAGATTGTCGAACAGGGTAAGTCTTGGCATAGCATCTATTCAACTGCAGTGTTCACATTATTTTGACCAAATAAGCACCAAGTTGTCCATCTTCACATTATGAATCCTTTCCATAATGCGTATTTGCACTGTTAATAATTTCAGGCATATCTAAGGGAATTCAACAATGGACGCTGCAGAAGTCCAAATTGAACTTTTTAATGACACCACATAAAATCTGCAATACCAAAACAGGCCATTCAGTTCAACTGCTCTATACTGGAGTTTACACAGTGACTCTATTTTAATTTAGTTACTCTCCTTGCCCTGAGTTCCATATTCATCTATTCCCTTCCACCTCTTCTTAAATGTACTATGACTTTCTAGCACAA